CCTGTCTGTCATCAGTGGGCAGTCTTCCTCATCAGTATCTTCTGATTCTATTTCACTTTAATCATATAAAAACAGTTATACCACTATACCAAAATGTAATTATAATAGTTAACATTTATTGAGTGTTTATGTGTCAGAAATTTTACAGCTATTATCTAATTTTAATTGGGCTGTATAATTAGATAAACTTGAAAGTTATATCCTTTTCTTAAATCATTGTCATTTTAATTCTTAAAAAAAAGCTTTCAGCCTTTAAGCTTTGTGAATATATTCATGAGGCTTCTCATACATGATTGAAGTAAAATAAATTTAATGGAGCAGTGCAGATAATCTTACTAATTTTGTATTTCTGGTCTCCTTAAATGTTTTTGTTAGAATTCACCAGAAAAGGTGTGAAGGAAACTTTGAGGATCTATCATGTAAAGAAAATTAATATGGATAACCAACTATAATTCACCTTGTGTACTCTTAATAGTGGACTTGTTAGGAAACCAATCTACTTGATGAAATAATATTCCTTGATAATAGATCAAATGTAACCTAATGTTCTTTGGTAAGCTAGTACTATCTAGTGTTGTTTAATATCTGTGTATTTGTGAATTTTGCAGTTTTCTTCCTGTTACTGATTTCAGTCATCTTGAATTTGCTAAGAATTGTTTGTGACCCAACATATAATCCATCCTAGAATATGCTCCATGTGAACTTGAGAAGAATATGTGTTCTGCTGTTGTCAGATAAAATGTTCTGTAAATGTCTCTTAGGGCCATTTGGTCTGTAATATTATTCAGATCTACTTCCTTATTGTATGTAGACAATCTGTCCATTGTTGAGACCAGGGGACTGAAGGCCCCTTCAATTATTGGATTGCTGTTTGTTTCTCCATGTAGCTCTGTTAGGTTTTGCTTTGTGTATTCAGGTGCTGTGATATTGGGCACATAAATGTGTGTGTGTATATATATATATTTCTTTTCCAGGGGGAAAATACTTCTTTTTACATATTCATATGCAGTGATTCCTTTCATTGCTGTTAATAAGCTGGAGGACTCATCCAGCAGAACTCTTCTCACTCTGTGCGCACCTGGCTAGAGGAAAATGTGGCATCATCTGACAAACCTGTGCTATGCTAATGAGCCCTACAGCTTTGACACAGGCACATAAACATATCTTCTTGATGTATGGGTCCCTTATTATTATATAATAACCTTCTTTATTTTTTACCATTTTTAATTTAATGTTTTATTTTGTTTGATTCAAGTATAGCTACCCCTACCATTTTGGGTCACCATTTGCTTGAATTATCTTTTTCCATCCTTTCCCTCTGTGTGTCTTTAAGGATACAGTGTGTCTCTTGTACGCAACATATCATTGGACCTTATTTTTTATTCATTCAGCCATTCACTTTGTCTTTTGATTGGAGAATTTAATCCATTTAAGGTAATTATTGATAAGTAAGGGCTTACTGTTTTGTTAACTGTTTTGGGGTGGTTTTGTAGCTCCATTTTTCCTTATTTCTTATTGTGCTGTCTTCATGTGTTTTGATGTCCTGTTGTATCAGTATGCTTTGATTTCCTTATCATGTTCCTTTGTGTATTACTACAAGTTTGTCCCTTGCAGTTACCATGAGGTTTACATAAATATCTTGAAATTATAATACCTTATTTTAAGTTAATGCCAACTTAACTTCAGTATAGTTCCTAAGCTTTGCATTTTTACTTCCCCTCTAGCTCACTGTTTAGGATATTGTTTCACCATTTCTTGTATTGTGTAACTGATAATAGACTATTGCAGTTACAGTTATTTTTGCAATTGTTTTTTTTAACTTTTAAACTATATTTAAGTAAATTACACACCACAATTACCATATTACAGACTCTATGTTTTTTACTATTACCAGTGAGTTTTACACTACCTTATGTTTTTATGACATTAATTAGTGTCCTTTTACTTCCATTCAATGAACTCCCTTTAGCATTTCTTATAAGGCTGGTCTAGTAGTGATGAATTTCCTCAGCTTTTGTTTGTTCAAGAAAGTCTTTATCTTCCATTTCTGAAGGACAGCTTGGCAAGGTATAGGATTCTTGGTTGACAATTTTTTCCTCAATATTTTGAACATGTCATCTCATTCTCTTTTGGCCTAAAAAGTTTCTATTGAGATATATACCAATAGTCTTATGGGGGTACCCCCCTTGTATACAGTTTATCTTTTTTCTGGGTGCCTTTAAAATTTTATCTTTGACAGTTGACAATATGGTTATAGTCTTTGATATTTGACAATTATAATATGTCAGCATAGTCCTATTTGGGTCCAGTGTACTTGGGGTCTCTGGGGCTTCTTGGACCTGGATGTCTAGTTCTCTCCCCACATTTTAGAAGTTATCAGACATTATGTTTTTTAATATACTTTCTGTCCTTTTCTCTTTCTCTTTTGGAATTCCCATAACGTGAATAGTTTCACTCATTTTCATTCATTTTTCTTTTTGCTCTTCTCCCTGGATAATTTCAAATGTCCTGTCTTCCAGGTGGCTGATTCTTCTGTAGGGCTGAGTCTGCTTTTGAAGCCCTTTATTGAGTTCTTCCATTCAGTTATGTATTTTTCATCTCGAAGCTTTCTGTTTGGGGTTAAAAAAATTTTTTTTTGTTTCTTTGTTGAACTTCTTGTTTTGTTCATTCATTGTTTTCCTAATTTTGTTTAGTTTCCTATGTGTTCTTGTAGTTCACTAAACTTCTTTAAAAGGATTATTCTGAATGCTTTGTCTGACAGGTCATAGATCTCTATTTATTTAGGGTCAGTTATTAGTGCTTTATTAATTTCTTTTGGTGGTATCACATTTACCTGATTTTATGTGGTCCTTGATTCTTATGTTGATATCTATGTATTTGAATTAGTGGTCTTCTCTTCCAGATTTGCTTTTGCACAGAGTTCTTCACCAGTAAGTTCAGTTTGGGTTTCTAGATGTGTGCCCCTGGTTGAGAACAGCTGCATAGGACTGCTGGCCTTGATTCTCTGCCCACCTGAGACTGTAGTCTCTGTTCAGGCTTACTAGACAGTCAGGACTGTCTATGCTCACCAGTAGATGGGGCTATGAATTAGCTTTCCTACCCTAGTGAAGCAACAAGATGGGATCCAGATCCTGCCCCACTCATTGTTGAACAGAATCAGGTAGGAGTGTACACTGGATGTACACTGGATTTCCTGGTCAGGTGAGGCCAGAGTTTTTCTCTGCAGACAGGAAAAGCCTTAGGCTTTGCTCCCTGTTCAAGTGCCACTGTAAGCAGCACTGTTTGATAGGCTGCCAGCTCCCAGTGTGCTCTGGTAAAGTTCCCTGGTTGGGCAAGCTGAAGGCTGTATTCAGCAATGACTGAGTCCATGAAAGAATTTCCCTGCCTAGGTGCAATGGGAGAAGCAGCTTCAGGGCTACTGAGGTTCTTCATTTGTGGTCTTAATTCAATCTGACCAGTGCCCCAAGTCCCTGGTTTAACAGAGCCACTTGTTTTGCCCTGGGGGACCATCACCTCTGCTTACTCTCCTTTCAGCCTGAGCATTGCTAGGTAACACAGTTTCCAGCTGTTCTCACCAGCCCCTCCCAGCAGGCGTGGGTGGAGTTATGACTCAGTTCTTCAACCTGGGCAAACCAGGTCCCAGGATTCCAGGGTCCTTGTCTGAGAACCAAATGAAGCAGACCTGTTCCCCACTGAGTTCCCTGGTCAGGTGTGCCACCAACTGAGTTCTGCAGATAAACGAAGCTGCTCACAGGCACTACTGCTTGGGCTTTGCAGGTAGGAATGCAGCCTGCTAAGATCTGAGTACTGGTTGTTGGAAATCTCTCCCCACAATCAGATTCCCAGGGGTTGAGTCCTGCAGATTCCTCTGCAACCCCAGATTGGGGTGAAACCAGAGTAAGGGCTCCTATGAAGTGACCTACAATACTGGGGTGCCTGGATGTCACCATAGGCTCAGGGGGCACCTCTTTGTGTGCATATGCTGTGCTGGCCTGGGGGCAATGCAGTCAGCATGTAGCCATTCATCTTACCCTTCTAATGCAGTCTATCTTGGTCTTTGTGGTACAGGGTCTACTTCAACTTTCCTCCTGTGTTCCAGGATTTTTTCAGTGGTGCTTTGTTCATGAACCATTGTTCTTGTGAGGGGAAGCGAAGCCAGGAATGATGTATGTTGCCACATGGGTGATGTCACTTCCTGCACATACTGAGGAGAGAAATTCTGAAATGTATTCAATTACCTAATGCACACACGGTTACCAATTTGGTATTATATTGTAGAATTGTCCTGGAAAACACATCTTTAAACCTGCTTTTATTTCCCACTGAGTACCAATGGCTCCAAATTAGGAGAGCTGGCCTTAGGCTGACAGTAGTAGGTAACTGACATGTCTCTCCCAATAAACTTTAGGAAATAATATTCATGTCTTTTGACAAAGCTGTTAACCTTTTGGACACCTCTGGCCAATGAACTGAAAAACAAGAGGGACAGAAAGATTTATATGTAAAGATGTCTCTTACAGCATTTTTTTTTTACAATTGTGAAGCAATTTAAATGTTTGCCAATAGGCAACTAATATTGTATTAACTAAATAGAATTTGACAAGTATATAGAATTATAAATACTAAAAGGAAGTTTATTTCAACATAAATGTCTAAGTTAAAATGTGCACATATTTGCAATTATACAAACAAGAAGACAAAACATAATAAAGTGATTATAATTGGATGGCAGATTCTATAATTTTCCTATAATACTTTGTTTGACAGAGTTTACTTCTAAAAGATACCACTAAAATTGATAAAATAATAGTGATTTATTGTCATTTTATTCTTTCAAATGAGCAAAGTTGAAGGTCATAATTGTACACATAAATGTTAATATTGCCAGCCACTTGAGGTGTTTTTTTTTTTTTCTGGTTTGTTTCCATCTACAGATTTTCATGGAAAAATAAAACCAAACCTGAAAAAATTTTAAAAGTGTCTCTTATGTCTCTTTACAGGTATTCCTCTGCCCAAAGAAGATGGCATTTCTGCACCCTTGATCTCCAGCTCACCAGTGAAGGAAGCCCGGGAGTATGAAGAGCCCTCAAGTGAAGAGGAAGATAAAATGAAAGAAGAGCCTTTGACTATCTCTGAACTGGCGTACAGCCCAAGTGCTAGCCTGCTCCCCACCCCAGTTGATGATGATGAGATCGACATGCTCTTTGACTGTTCATCTCGGCATGAGTTGGAAAGAGAAGACACAGATTCGTTTGAGGAACTGGAAGCGGATGAAAATGCCTTTCTGATGGCAGAGGAAGAGGAGCTGAAGGAGGCTCACCAAGCTTTGTCATGGAGCTATGACATTCTGAGCGGCCATATTCGGGTGAACCCACTGGTCAAGAGTTTTTCCAGGCTCTTTGTGGTGGGTCTGGGCCTGCTGCTCTTTGTATTCCCCCTGCTCCTCCTCCTTTTGGAGTCAGGTATTGATCTCTCCTTCTTATGTGAAATCCGCCAGACACCAGAGTTTGAGCAGTTTCACATTGAGTATTACTGTCCTCTCAAGGAGTGGGTGGCTGGCAAAGTAAACCTCATTCTCTACATGCTGGGTTGCTCATAAAATGCATCTCTCATAAGACTAAGGGCTATATTCAATACTAGTGATTTGTTTTTTCTGCAAATGCCTGGTTCTGAGTGGTCATGGAGCCGTCAACAGGTGTTCTTTGCTCAAAACTGATTATTCAAACCTTTAAGCTAACTTTCCATAATTCACTACACTTAAATAAGTTTAAGTCAAATACAGTCATTTTTGTTATGGGTCAGGAAGATGGCCTTTAAATAACCAAAAATGTTTATTTTTATTATATCATGGCATACTCTTTATCTATTATATCATAATACATTTCTATTATTCCATAATACATTGAGCTGAATTAGGTTTCCCCCTTTTAGATAATTAGCATCATTATAGGCTATAAGGTTCAGAATCAGAATTTTAGTAATAATCCAAGAGAAAGCTTTTGAATATAATCCTTAGTGAAAACAATGTCCTCTAACCAATGCCTATACAACTAAATTTATGCTGGGTTTTTGTTTTTTTAAAAATATTTTTATGTGTTCAGAATATTTTGGTAAATTTTTAGCAAAAAAAAAAAAACCCTCCTGGAGTTATTTAATTGTACAGATTGTAAGACTAATGCACAAAAGGTATGTTGGGCATTTTTTAATGTTTTGGCACTGGTTTGTTTAAAAAATATTTTTGGCTGAAAAAAATCACATAATTTGTTGTTAGCTACTTATGAGTTAGAAAATAGGTAGAAAGACTGTGGTAAGTAAGCTCCTAAAACAAATGATGGAAATGGAGGATGTAGAAACGGAGCATCATCAAGTGGACACAGGGTGGTCCCTTTTTCAAAGTATCTGGACAAGATGACTAGTTACTTTCATTTGCATTCCGCCTAAATATTTTGGCTGAGGAAGCAGAACATTTTTAAAAGAGTGAAACTTTAAAGGAAAAGAATGAAAAGAGATGCAGTTAATTGCATGTTATTGTACAGTAACCCAAGAGTGGAAGCAGATGGGAAATGGACAAATGGCAAGTAGCAAAAAAAGTTTTGGTGAGGCTGGTAGTCTAGTGGTGGTAGGAAAACGATTGATTTTATGGAAGTGCTGGTGATACAAGGTGTTGGATGATGTAAAGAACAGTGTACTCGCTGTCCAAATTGACATGAATATGTTTAAGTGGATCTAAATAAAAGTGGAGAAACTTGAAGGCACAGTTTTGGTCCCTCATGCCATTGATTGTGATTCTGTGGAAGAGCTTAACTTCAAAGGAAGTGTATGTATGTGTGGGGGCAGAAAATGAAGAGAATGGATTTTGGCTTTTTGATAAAGCTAATGATCTTTTGTGGTGGTCATTATTTCTCCTTGCCTGGTTTCCTTAAGATCTTAACCCATTCATAATTGGGACTCTCGTTAAGAAAGAGGAGTGGGCTCACTAGCTGATACACTATTTCAGCTTGGGTGAAGTAGAGGGGGGAAATGTTCTCTAGTGCCTGTCTTCATACCATTACATCCATGGCAGAAGGCTCCGATGCCTTCCCACGCAGCATCCCGACCAGTCCTGTGGTATAAGTGAGAAAGGTAAGAACATGGAGCTTTGGGATTTCTCCACGAGCTGAAAACGTTCCACTGCCTTCATGTACAAAGAGACTGAGCTTCCTGTAATCTCTGACTCCAACAGACACTTGAGCTCTACATGAGCATCATTTCCAGAACGGCCATTCTGGTCCTACTTATTCATGAAGCTCTGAGAGCTTTATTAGGCATTTAATTTTGAAAATGAGTTTTAAAAGTCAGCTCATCTAGCCTTCAGTTAAGCAAACTCTAATATATGGTTGCTATTAAGATTGTAGAGTGTGCTTTCTCATGTGCTTTTCAGTGATTGGTTTTGCGTTTTAATTTTAATACCTTAAATTTGATAATGATATACAGATATATTTCCTATGGTTTATTTTGGAAGTTTGTAAGTGGCCAGCTTTGAAATTAAAGGTTTTTTCCCCCTGTTTTTCATATGACTTGGAAATCATACTTTCCAATGAAAGGGCCCTCCAATGTAGTCTGAAATAAATTAGTCCTCCTTTTAATTATGCTTCAGTTTCTAACCATGACAAATCATCTAGCTTTAATCCTTTTAAAATAATATTAGATATTTTTAAATTATGGAAGTAATACATTGCCCATCATAAAACATTTCAAAAATACTGATAGGGTAAATATCATACATAGTCCATCACACAGACTTATATTAAGAGGTAATACATTATTTTTAACATTTTCAGCTAACATCTCTTTTTTCTTTGGCAAAAACTTGACTATTGACTAGAAATGTTTCTAATTAAAGGAGTTGACAGGGTAGGGTCTGCTGAATTTAAACAATAGCCACCAAAAGTAAAAGTGGGATCCTGAAATGCCATTTTTCAGGACAGGATATAAAAAGCCTTTTGAGAAATACCATGTAAGTGTGGTAGAAGGCAGTCACCAGTTACCTGAATGAAGTGAGAAAAAACTGCTTCCAAGATAGAAAATATATGAGGGGGGACCCTAAAAAACCAGAATTTTTAAAATAAATTGTGTATTTATTCTTACACGTTTAAACCTCAGTCACTTTCAAAGTACTCTCCATTTGATGCACTACACCTATTGAGACATTTTTTTCTATTGCTCAAATTGGTTTTTGAACTTGTCAATTTTGGTGTATTTTAGTGCTTCTGCTGTTTTTTGTTTCACCTCTTCCACATGGGCAAAATGTTTCCCTTTGAGGACTTTGTTCAGCCAGGGAAACAAAAAAAAAAAGAGTTGCTTGGGGTGAGATCAAGTGAATAGGGAGGGTGGGGCATGGGGGTCATGCCATTTTGGGTTGAAAACTGCTGAATACTCAGCATGGTATCAGCGGGTGCACCGGTAAATCACCCAGCATGAAGTGGGCAAATGCGTTGAAAGAGTCTTCAAAAAATAAAAATTCACTGAAGCTGAACATAGCCTCTCACAACAATGCCAGCTGGTACACTGATACAGATGGTTCCTAGAACACTCACCTGGCATGGGAAGCCTGACCTACCAGGGACTCACTCCCCAGAAGACAGATAATTCGGAGGTTTTTTGGTCCCCCCTCGTATAATATAGTGAGATACATAGCTCAAAGCAAGTGTGTGAGTATATGTATATTCCATATTATTGGTATATGTGTTTACATATGCATATATATGTGTGTGTATATACATCACTGATATGCTCTTATACACAGTTGTGTTTAATTTTCCCCAGTTGAGGATTTTTTGACATTATTATTCCTTTTCTCTCTCAGATATCATAGTGGATAAAAGTCTTAAAGGTTTCAATTTTCTGTGAAAATCACTGTGTACATTTATAGTCATATATACACACACATATATGGCAAATACATATACACACATAATCTTGTCTTTGCAAGTTAGATCATTAAAAAAACATAGGTAAGGTATATTGTGTTTCTGTCTGTGCTTGGAACATATTGTAAAATGTCATGTATTTGGAATATATTTTGTGGCTTGTTTAATATTTATAAAATCAACTCTGGGAAGAATTCAAAATGAATTCATTTCATTGAAATACTAGAGATATGGGGGCCATATGATTGGAGCCTTATCTTTGTATAGTGAAATTTGCATTTCTATGTCAATATTCAGATTGTTTTATATGTTAATATGGTGGCAGAAATCCCTAATAAAATTACTCTGGGGAAAAATATTTCTGCAATCATTTAGTTTTATTCAAGGCAAAGTTTTATAAATAGCCTGTTGGGAAGTACAGGAAGGTGCTATCTAGGACCATGAAATGGTGTCACCTTTGAATGGTGCTGGCATGAAAAAAAAATCCACAGGTAATGGATGGAAGCAATCGTTTGCAGAAGCCTCTCTGGCTGAAAGCAGGAGTACTGAGGGTAATGGGAATGCACCCAAATATAAGAGATAGCTATGGCACTAAGATACCCGGAGAAATAAAAAAAAAAAACAGGAGTGTTCTGCATGACAGGTAGGAGGAAAGATTTTAGAGTGCTAGGAATTAGTATGTCATCACTTCTGGCCAAAAAAGGGTGTCCTCCTGTGCTAGAAAGAGCCTATATCATATCAGACTCAGGTCTGCAACACTTGCCACTAAACTTCTGCTGCCTGTTCATGGGCCTGGAAGACTCTCACTAGTCTTCTATCTCCCCCTCCATTCAGCATGGCCCATCACAAAGCTGATGACTGCACACCTGACAGTTGAATCACTGTGTGTTATTTTGAATGAAGCAAAAGGGACTCTGTTACAGGAACACAGTTCATGTCCAGCCAAATTGTACCCCAACTGTGGTGGCCTCTTAAATCTGTCATGTTCTGTTTTTCAGTTTTATTTAGATATAATTGATGTATGACAGTGTGTTAGTTTTTAGGTATACAATGATTTGATATTTGTATATATTGCAAAATGATAAAGTTTAGGAAAAAATCCATCACCTCACATAGCTACAAATTTTTTTGTGGTGATGAGAACTTTTAAGGTCTACTCTCTCAGCAACTTCAAATATGCAATGCAGTATTATCAATGGTAGTCACCATGCCATATATTACATCCCCAGAACTTACTTATAATTGGAAATTTGTACCTTTCGACCTTCATCCATTTCATCCACTGGGATGTGGGAGGTGAGGGAAGTCTGTCAAGTTCGTACTCAGCAGTCCTCAGAGGTCCAGGCTCTAGAGTACAGGCAAGAAAAGAAATTCACTGGCTAGTGTTCAGGCAGGAGGTGCCATGGACCTACAGTCCCAACTCCAGCAGCTCTAGCCAGTACTGTTTTTTTTAGGTTAGTATCTGCAGACTGGAAGGCTCACACAAAATGGCCCTTGGCTACTTACTCATTGAATGGTCCAGGTTCCTGACCCAACCTTGCCTCTTGGCAGGAACCCTTTTCCTTACTCCTATCATTTTCTGCTCAGCCAAACAGGGGCAAGATCTCTTAACCACACTCCAGTTTGGAAGGAAAGTACTGGGGAGAAGTTTCCACCTCTGGGGTAACCTTGGGATGGTTGTGGTTGATGAATTTGAGATCCTTTAAGCCATCTTTCTCTTCTGGGTGGAGATAATGTGCCAAAAGTCCCTGCTTACTTGTCCTCCTGCTTCTCTCTCTCTCTCTTTTTCTCTTGGACCTGCTTTTGGGCTTCCAGTCTCCATGCAGTAAACAGACCCAGCAGGAGCTGCCGTGGTGGGCCCAGCCAGGACTCTGCTCTCCACAGTCCAGCCTCAGTCTCTGATGGGGTGGGTAAGTCTGGCAGGCCCTGCCCAGTGGGCTCAGCTGTCATCACTGCTGAGACGAGGAAAGAAGCTTCGCTTGGGCCTCAGATCCCAGATGTGTTCTCCAAAGCTTTAATAAAACTGATTTTAATCCTCTTCTGGCCATTGTGTCTATTGTATATTGAGAACTGGGGTGTGATTCACACTAAGAACACTCAAGAATGTTGAGGACCTCTGCAACCTCTAATGTTGCAAGGAAGGAGTGGAGAAGGCTGCTTCTGGCTGACCCTCAGGTGACAGGGCATGTCTGCCACTGACATAAGCCCTGAAAGGCCTTGCAAATGGGTGAGGGAACTTAATATTAGTAAAGAACAGAGGATTTGTGGGAACTGTACATCCCTATTCTTTACCTGTACCTGGTACATGCCCTGATGTCACTTTGGAAAGAGAACCAAGGCCACTTCCCTCATTGTAAAGGAAAACTCTTAGTAGGACAAAGGGTATGCTTTGCATGGGTGCTGAGTATTGAAATAAATCTTGCAAATTACAGCAGCTCCTCCAACTAACACTGATCATCTTAAGTCTCCTCGCCTACAAGAATTATTTTTATAATTATAAGGATTTTGAGTTTTCCAAGGAAAGTGCCCTTCAAGGAAGAGAACACACTAATAAACCAACATCAATTTCCACTCTGCTTGTCAGTTATATTCTTCATAGGTTAAAAGTCAGTGTTCTTGTCTAAGTATCCTGTAATTTGTGGGGAGTGAATCAGCTTCCTTCCATCCTGACTCAGCCTGAGTACCTTGACCACCCTGAGCTGCTGGTTTTGCAAAGTTGCAAACAGTGGCGGGCACATAAAGGTGCTGCTCCCTGGCCATAGCATTACTGTATAATTTATTGTACAAACCAGGACTCTTGAGAGTGAAGGGGATGTTTTTAATGATTATGTCACAGCAATGGGTGTCA